TTCAGACATAGTATAATCTAAAATGCTAGGTGTTAGGAGAGAGCGACATGGACTAAATTAGTTGAATAAATTTTCATGCAGATGATAGAATTTAAATGTATTTGTATGGATGAAATTTGACTGAGGATTTAGGTGAGAGAGTGGATGAGGTCAAGTAAAAATTGTAACATTAAATAAATATACTCAGAAAATAAGAGTTAAAAACAGTTTATATATTATATAAATGTCTTACATTCTGGTTTGCCTTTCATTTATGATCGTAAGGATCAATGTTGCTATTATTATTGTTAGGCTCCATGTTTGATAATGACAAAATTGTTTTCTTCACTTAGACTCCATACTTATCTATTTCATGGGGAAAAACATTTACTTTCATACTTTAAAATCAACTTAAAACCAACTTAAAGCCTAACCCAAGATTTTAATGACAATTTAGTTTTGTTTTTTTATTTTGACACCAATAATTTTTTTATAACTAAAGTTGAAATCTATATTATATTTACAGGTTTAAGATCATTTTGTCAAGACTTAGTCATCTGCATTAGAAATAGATAAGATAGTCCAAATAAAAACAAACAGATAATCTAAAATCTAAATTTAGCTATGATTTTTCAACTTCTACCATGCTAGGCAGGACAGACCCATATTTGGTTGATTTCAGAATTCTCTTCTTTCCCTTCTTCTGCACACCCTCTGCAAGAATGATGGAGATGTGTAATGGTCAAATGGAGGAAGCAGGAAAGAGAACAAGAATGAATAATCCACAAAATGGATAAGTTCTTGAATAACTGAAAGTTGAGCAGGAACTTTTTCAATCTAATTTCTTTTAAAAAAGGAAGGGCAAAGAATCAGATAAAGTAGTCAATTATATCTTTTCTACGTCAAGGTATTAATATTCTGTTAATGCAACTTTGGTTAATTCCATTACATTATAAGTTTTGTTTCTGTTTTAAGTTCAGGATGCAGAAATGTCATTTCTCATTTGACAGTATTTCTGTGAACATACTCAAAATAGTTCTGTGGTATGGTTACTGAAGTGAACATATTGGGAAAATATTACCATAGTGTCTTAATTGAGAAGATAAACATTTATTGGTATTATCAGTTATTTGTGAATAGAACAATAGTCCATTTTAAAAACTAAATACACCATTTTGACTATATTTTGCCATGTAATTATTTTAGAGTACAGTTCTCATTGTTTTTTCAGCCTAGGTTTGAATCTTGTCTAAATATAATGAGCTTGAACCTCCAGGATTCCCAAAAGTGAACTCTTAATACCGTTGGAAGAGAGTTCCTTATAGGCCTGTGTTAGAAAGCTTATGTGTTGTCTCAACTGAAAAACGGAGTAGAACTTGAATTGTAATGGTCTAAATATGCTTGAGCCCCCCCATTTCCTACAGTTATCACAAGTAAAAATGGTTAAAATAGATATATTGTTAAAGTGGAGAGTACGTATCCCTCTATTTCTGGATGAATATATTTGAAAATCAAAACAAAGTTCATGTTAGAAAATGTGTGTGTGTATGTGTGTACATATATATGTATATGCACATATCACAAATATAACCTTTTTTATAAATTGAAAACACTGTTTCAGAGGACCAGACAGATCAGTCACAAAGACTGGTTGATAAAGGTGTGGACTCTATAATCAAATCTGGTATAATTTTAATAGGAAGGAACATAATGAAGTAAAAAGGAATAAAAGATATAGTGTTAAAAAATTGAATTAATTCCTACCTTTTCATCTACAAACACCCATTAGTATTTATACAAGTTACCTAATCTTTGTTAATGCATGGTTCTTCATCCATAAAATGAAAATAATATTGCCTAATATATCTTCCTCACAAGATTATTAAGAGAATTAAGTTATTTTACACAGTGGCATAGAGAAGAGTAAGTTACCTTAACTCTTATTAATACATGAATTTTATCTAGTATATATTAGGCACTTGTTAAATGCCAGACATGATACTAATTGCTTTATCTTCCTACCATCTAATACTCAGATCAACCCTGTGAATTAGACAAGAAATAAATAAGTGATGCTCAAATATTATATCATATAAGATTATATAGCTAGTTAAGTAACAACACTGAGATTCGTTCATGCTTCCAACCTGTGCTTTTAACTCTTTGCTAAACTACCTCTTCATGTTTAGATTGAACTATGAGTTAAAGATATGCTCTAGAACTTTTCCTAAATTCTAGGGCCCATATATTAGTACATATGGTAAAGTTTCCCTGGAAACATTTTAGAGCATTTATCTCAGATACATGTTGATTAGATATTGGAAAATTCTTTCAGCACACTAATTCTTACTTATTTGCTTTGTTCTCTTAGGTGGATAAATTTTACAAATGTATTACCTCAAGCCAGCTCATTTTGATATTTCGTTCCTTTCTTGACTGAGACAGTCTGCTTCTATTTACTGTTGACCCTTGAATAACACAGGGGTTATGGGTGCCATTCCCCTGCACAGTTGAAAATCCACATATAACTTTATACTCTCCCCAAACTTAACTACTAATAGCCTACTGTTGACTGGAAGCCTTTTCACATTTTTTGCATATTAATTAGCCAATTAACACATATTTTGTATATTAAATGTATTAATACTGTATTCTTACAACCACATAAGCGAGAGAAATGTTAATAAAGAAAATACATTTACAGTACTGCATGTATTTATTGAAAAAAATTCATGTATAAGTGGACCCTTACAGTTCAAATCCATGTTGTTCAAGGGTCAACTGTATTTCTAATAATTATAGATAACATTTATGCAGCACTTTGTGCCAATTACTTTATCTGCTTTATCTCTCTATCCTCACCACAACTCTCTTTGAAACCGTTCATATAATCACCAATTTTCAAAGTAGGAAACTAAGACATAGAACATTTAAGTGACTTTCATAACATTATCCAGCCAGTAAGTGATGAAGATGGGATTCCATCTTAATTCAGCAGACTCTGCTTTGAACAACTTTAAGTTTGAACTGCAAAAAACATAATAAAAGTTTTTAAACAAATAATTTAGTAGTATTTTCACACAACAGGGAATTCCATTCTCAGTAGAAGATAAAGAATTACAGTGTTTTTCTTAAAATCATTTTTTTAAGATTATTTATTTATTTATTTGACAGAGAGAGACACAGCGAGAGAGGGAACACAAGCAGGGGAGTGGGAGAGGGAGAAGCAGGCTCCCCGCCGAGCAGGGAGCCCGATGTGGGGCTCGATCCTGGGACCCTGGGACCATGACCTGAGCCGAAGGCAGACGCTTAACGACTGAGCCACCCAGGCGCGCCTTAAAATCATTTTTTAATTTGCTTCTGTTTCCACGTCTTGGTTTATACATAATTTAAGGAAAATTCATCCTAAGGCAAGCACCTGTAGAGATAAGGCACCAGGTACACCAGTATGCAATGAGCCCAAATTGATCAAACAGAAAAAGGTAAAAGGGTAGATGAAGTCTTATCCCCCTGTTGTTTGCTGATATCCAAAGTAAATATAAATACTAAGGGAAAATGTTGAGGACATCTCAAGGATTGACTTACTGACTTCTTTGCCATTTTATTAATGTCTAGTTAATGAGGTATCTGTAGGTATTATGGCCTTTCCAAAAAAGGAAAATTGGCTTTTCTTATTCAATTTGTACATAATGCAGCTTTTACACTTCCTTCAGTTCTTATTAAGACGCTGAAATACTTCAGCAATAACTTTAGGACAGCATAGTTTCTGATGAAATTTCACATAGGGAGAAAAAACATGAGAAACATCCCCATATTGTCTTTTATACCCTTCATTTACAGTGGATAAGTGACCTGTCTTGGTTTGACTATCTTCCTGCTGCTTCACTGGGCTTCGAGGTTTTGTGGACATGGTCGTCTAGGTCAATGGAATCTAGTAAGGTGGAAGGCTTTCTTTCTTGTGTATCTATCATTAAAAAGTTCAACAAAAACCTACTGCAAAATGTTTCTTATCCTTTTGTCAGATATGAAGTAGTGAGCAGGACTAGTTCTTTATGGAAATTTTTACACCCTTAATAATCCTTTCAAAAATGTAGAGCCGGTAGTACTGCAGGCATATAAGGATAACTTCATATTTCTGCCTTCTCTTCTTTTATAGGACCTACTATATTTGATTCACTTGTATCAGTTGAAATATCCTCCACATCTCTTATTTCTCTGACCCTTACATTTATGGGTTAGGTTTGTGGCTTACTGATTTTCAGTTTTGTAGAAAGACCTATGTTTTTCTGTCACATAGCCTACAGCACAACTTTGACAGCAGATGAGCAGTTCTCCAAGAGCGATGAGCCAGGCTGGCTATCTCAGAGACTCCAGAGAGGACCCAAGGAAGAGCTGCTCACCTCTTCACCCTTTCATGCAGTTGCAGAACTACACTCTGTGCAGCCAACAAGGAAGAACTGCATAAAATTTGTTAGAGACCCACATTAATTCGGGAATATATACTGGTTTTGTGATATATCCTTAGATATTTTTCACATGCATGTGTTCAATCTTCCCATCTTATAAAATAAAAGAAACAAAGATTTTGTCATCTGTTTTCTTTACATCTGCTGATATCCCCTTCCCCCAGTAGCAGCACTTAATGACCAAATACCTAATTATTTTTATTGCTTTAATTAATATAGAGCCAAGATCTATGTCATGCCGAATATACAATTGTCTTCAATTTTATATCCAATTTCCTACTATTACTGTGATAAAATATTACTTAAATTTAAATTTTATTTTTAAAATGTATATATTATTTTTAATATGTATATATTATATAACATTATTATGTAACACTAATATATTATTACATTATTATATTTACTTAAATGATTATCCTAATGGTGTATTGATGCTATATCTATACTGTATATTAATTCATAGTTTTAATTAATTATTCTTAATATTAGAACTGTAATTTAAAGAATTTTTGCTGGGACATTTTCATGTGCTTTTTTTTCTTTACATTTTAGGTGTACAAGAATTTCCAGAAAACATTAAGTGCTGTAAGTGTTTAACAATTATTGAAGCCAGTGTCAATCCCATTTCTAAGTGAGTATGAATGATTACATTTTATTTATATTTATGTTTCCATTGGATAATAATGTACCCAGATAAACAAAATTCACATAATAAATGAATTTTAAATATTGCATTTAAAATTCAATTTAATAGAATGATGAGGAAAAATAATCAAATCAGAATAGTTTAACAAAAGATGATTAAAAACATTGCTGAATAATGATGAAGGTCTAATTGGCACAAGATGGCATTACTTTGAAGTTAACTATGTCATCATTCTGTGGTTCTCAGGCAACATTCCATGAAAGAGCACTGAAATGAAAGAAACAGTTATTAGTTATGATCTTGGTAGAAAATTAACATCAAGGATCTAATGAAAGTTCAAGAGAGTACAAGAGTTTGAGATATTGATAGGTGCATGAAAATAGCTGATCACGTAGTTCCAGTTGGAAAATGAATTAAGTATAACCAGAAAAAGGGACTATTTGTGTACAAGGAAGAGTGGAAAGAGAATTCTATGAGGATAACAGAATGGAAGACTTGGATCGTAAAGGTGTTGTGATCAGAAATGGGGCATTATGGGCACCTGGGTGGCTCAGTTGGTTAAGCTACTGCCTTCAGCTCAGGTTATGATCCTGGAGTCCCGGGATCAAGTCCTGCATTGGGCTCCCTGCTCAGCGGGGAGTCTGCTTCTCCTTCTGACCCTCCCCCCTCTCGTGTGCTCTCTCTC